TTGTTCCATCGGTTAAATCTCAAGACTTTGACTTTTATTAGTGGGATAGACTAGTTGATAAGCAAAATCAAGATTTGATTTGTTTTCTTTTGTTTTGGGTAGTTTTCTGCCTACTAAAATCTGTTTTCTTTATTTAAATTACCCTGGATAAGATAATTGTATTCATTTCTTCAAATCATAATATAAAATTTTTTTACTTTAGTTAGAATTTTGTTAACAAGTGATTTAAGAATTTACTACATATTACTCAGAAATATCTTCATAAATTAATATTACATTTTACAAGTTGGCCTTATTTTGAGCTTTTATTTTGCTGCTTTATGTTTAGGTAGCGGCAGTTCCTATGGAAGAAACTCAAGTTCATCCACAAGGGAACACAACTCAGCCATCTGAAATTAATGGGTTTCCTATGATGCCGATAGCTTTTCCCATGACTGTTAATCCGCCGGTTCCAATGGAAAATCTAACATTAGGACAAGGGAATCAATCCAATAATAATAATGCAACAGCAAAGCTCATCCGTCCTGTTCCTATTTCCCCAGCTCCTCAGGCATCTGATCTTAACTTGAACTTGAATTCAGTCGTCGGTCCTTCACCATTGTCACTCCAGCTTTCTTTGCAACCTGATCAAAAGGATTCGTCTTCTAGGCATTCTGCTTTTCAGGTGATGCCAAGCTTCAGCAATGGAGACAGCAATAGCATCATCAGTGTTGCTTGAGAAGGATGACCGCAAAAATGTCAAAATTTATTATTAGAGGAAAAACAAGAAGATAAAAGATAAGGTAAAGTTAGGTGACTGGGTTTGAAACCTTGGTTTTTGATGTACAGACTAAGTAGGAAAAACCTGTCATGTCTTGTTGCTTTTGTTGTTTTCTGTTGCTATTATATTAGATTCTTATTCATTTGTCTGTTTTTGCTCTGCTAGCTGACTGATGTATAACTGGATATAACAAGTGCTGCCTCTATTCATTACTGATCTTGCAATCTTGGTGGGTCTACTCTTATGACCTGTGGTTTTCAAGGTTTAATGTGGGGTGGGTGGAAGAAATATCAAGCTGGGTTAGTGGTAGGGAGGCATTATTTTTGTTCCTCATTTATCAAGTGATGGAACCCATTCTCTAGGTCTGTGAATTTTAATTGAACACGGCCCTTAATAAATGGATGGTGTATAGTTGTGAATCCTAATGTCTGGCTATAGGGGGCAGACCTTATCTTTTTGGATGAACATAGATAGGAAAAGGAGGGTTGGTGGGTTTTGTGGTGGAATTTTGTTTGCATACATGGGTCCAGAGGTCCTTCAATTGGGACAGAAATGGGTAGCTGGCATGTCATGTTTGCTTAGAATCCCCAGATGTACAGGTTTTCATTCATGACTGATGACGGTAGTTTGTAGGTGCCAGGTGGCTTGATAATGTTTCTTCACCGTAGTGAAAGTATGATCAAGTTCAAGGTAAAATGGTATAAAATTTAAGGTAGAAATGGGTTTTGTATTGCACTTCGGGATTACAAATAAATATACACTACTTATGCTTATAAGAAAGCAGAACAGTCAATGTGGATTCATTGATTTGTGCTATTAGCACAAAGTGTGCCTCAAGCTTAGTATTTTTTTGTTTTTCCATTTTGATAAGCCATGAAATTCCTTTCATTAATTCTCATGGGGTTACTTAATTGTAACCCTTCAAAATTGATGGCCAATGTATGGCTTTTGAACATTTGTATAGACTGTGAGCTAATGATAATGTAATATATTTGAATTTGTTATGAATATTTGATTATAAATCTTTTAGCATTTGTGTTATATGATTTTGAACTCTGAGGTTTGCTTGGGTCTAATGGGCTTGCTTGCTAGGCTCGAGCGTCGATCATGGATATTCAAATTTTGATTGTAACAAGTTTCACAACTGACACATGAGAAGCATTACATAGACGCTAAAGTGAAATACTAAATCCACTTCTCATGTCGAGTCATGTTCAGTGAACTTGCTCATCTATGGTAAGCACTTACATGTTAGTGTCAAGTATCTCTATACTTGAACCTATTAGAGCGGCTGCTTACTTTGCAAGTAAGGACTATAATATGTGTTGATTTTTGAGCATTATTGATGCCCCATCTCAATAATACTATGATTATGAACTTTTAAGAACAATATTTTGATGCATAAAGATTTCATAATTGTATCCTAATATAATTCTTTTGCAAAGTATTTATAGTTCTATAGGCTTTATCTACATAAGTATAAATAGTGATTAAATTACAAACTTATTAATAAAGAATTACCTCAATGTTATTATGAATAACAAAATGTCATACATGAATATTTAAAAATGTAATTCTCACACATCTACAAATTGGTCAGTAAGGCTCATACTAACAATCTCCTACTAGTATTAAAGCCAAATGCTTGTGTATCTAATACCAATGTTCTCAACATGATGATTATGTTTTTGCTAGGATAATGCTTTAGTGAGAGGATCAACAACACTATCCTTAATGGATATACACTCGATGCAAATGTCTCATCTGCTAATAGTTTCCTTGATCACATGGTAACATCGCAATAAATGTTTTGATTTCTAATGAGACCTTGGTTCTTTTGCTTGTGCAATGGCTTCATTGTTATCCTAATACAAAGGTATTGAATCAACAATGCTAGGAACCATAACTAGTTCAGTAATGAAATTCTTAATCCAAACTGCTTTAGATGTAGAGATGTATTCGACCTCAATTATAGAAAATTTAGTCATCTTTTGTTTGGAATTCTTCCAACTCACTACACCTTCATTGAGTGTGAATACATATCCACTTTGTGACTTGCTATCATCTCTGTCCGTTTGAACACTTTCATTCGCATAACCGTTAACTTAGAGTTTGTTTCCTTTATAGACCAAAAATAAATCTTTGGTTCTTTATAAGTACTTCAAGATGTTTTTTAAAGCTATCCAATGACCCTTACCAAGATTAGCTTAGTATTTGCTCATGACACTCAAAGCATAAGATACATCTGGTCAAGTACAAAGCATCGAATACATGATAGATCCTATTGCTGATGCATATAGGATTTTATCCGTGTAATCTCTCTCCTTTTGATTCTTTGGACATATGTCTTTGGATAGATAAATGCCTTGCAACATTGGCAAATGTCTCCTCTTGGACTCAATCATGCTAAACCTCTTTAGCATTTTGTCTATGTATATGGATTGAGAGAGATCTAGCAACCTTTTAGATCTATCTCTATAGATCTTTATTCCCAAATTATAGGTTGCTTCTCCTAAATCTATCATGGAGAATTGTTTGAACAGCCAAATCTTCATAGATTGCAGCAATGGTATATCATTTCCTATGAGCAATAAGTCATCAACATAGAGCACTAGCAAAATTATGACACTCCCACTAACCTTTTTATAGATACCTAGCTCATCCTTATTCTTGATGAACTCAAACCCTTTTATAGCTTCATTAAAATGGATGTTCCAACTCTGAGAAGCTTGTTTAAGTCTATAAATGGACTTTTGAAGTTTGCACACCTTGTTAGCATTAGCATTGCATGTAAAACCTTCAAGTTGTGTATGTACACTTCATATTGCACATTCCCGCTAAGGAACACCATTTTCACATCCATTTGTCATATTTCAAAATCATGCTATGCAGCAATTGCAAGCAAAATCCTAATGGATTTAAGTAGAACAACTAGTGAAAAGGTTTCCTCAAAGTCAATCCCTTGTCTTTGTTTGTAACCTTTTGCTACCAGTTGAGTTTTAAAGGTTTGTACCTTACCATCTACATCGATCTTTCTCTTAAAAACCCACTTGCACCTAATGGGTTTTATCCCTTCAGGTCATCCACCAAAGTCCAGACTTGGTTGGTATCCATGGCATCCATTTTAGATTTCATGGTTTCTAGTCATTTCTCAAAATCGAGGTGTAACATCGCCTCTACATAGATTGTAAGCTCATCATTTATGGGCAACACATCATTTTCCAAGAGAAATTCATATCTCTCTAGAGCTTGACGTATCCTACCAGACCTTCTAAGTGGTTATGCCTCTTGAGATTATGGTTGTACATTAGATGTCACAATCTCAAGCTCAGGTTCTAATGGAATGCCAATTTATGGGTCTTGAACTTCTTCGAGTACAACTTTAATCCCATTAGCCCTTTCAATTAAGAACTCTTTCTCAAGGAAAGTGGCATGCCTCGAAATAAACACCCTTTGCTCAATAGGATTATAGAAGTAATATCTGTGTGTTTCTTTAGCATATCTCACAAATTTACATTTGTCTAATCTCGCTCTTAACTTATCAGACATTATATGCTTCACATAAGCAGTACATCCCCAAATCTTAGCATAGGACAAGTTAGGCTTTTTCCCACTCCATATCTCATATGGTGTTATAACCCAAATTAGAGGGTCTGTGACCGATGCACGAGCCTAGTAGGCAAGTTCACTAGACCAGAGTAAGCCTCAGAGATCACAACCATATAACTCAAATGCTATAGGATTTATAATCAAATATTTGTAAGAATTTCAAATACATTACATTACCTTTAATTCACAATTCATACAATTATACATAAGGCAATACATTGGCTGTCAAGTTAGGTTTGTATGTAATTATCATGACCTAAACCCAAAGCTATGACTGGTGCATAAGCCTAACAAGCGAACCCACTAGACTTGAGCAAGCCTTAGTGTTCATATCCAAACATACATAGGCCAAAGGATTCAATCATCAAGTATTCATAATAAATTTGAAAAAGTTATAACATCCCTAGCTTAATTTCCATACAAATAGAAATAAGGCCATACGTTGGCCATCTAACTGAGTTCATACATATTAACCCGTAACATACAACATAACATGGCACTTAGTGCTTACACACATTATCCACAACGAATGGCTTTGACTGACTTAGCAAAGTGACCAAAATGGAGGATTTACAAGATGCCAAAATTGGTCAGTCCATAGACGATCTTTGCCACGCTTCTTCGTGGTCTATTTATCTGCACATGGTACACCAATGGGTGAGTATTATAATACTCAATGAGTGGTGCGGATAATCAAAATCAATTATATGCATATATACATCAAACATATAATAATTATATTACACTCTCGGTGTGTCCATATAATCTTTCAATACATCTCCAAATATAGAGGGATATAGTCATCCCTGGGTTCACCAAATACAGGAGTATATCATCCTCCCCAAAGTCATCATTATCATCACATATTGTGGGGCTTACCTTCGAAGCCAACCAAATTATTTAATCCATTTTCCACAACACACTTTAGTTATTGGAGCATCACATGAAAGTCATATCATATGTATATTAAGCCTTTTATGGTTACCACTCGTCATACACTAATTAAATCAATGAGTGGTCCTCCCCTAGACATAATCAAATCACACTCGATGGCCAGTTAGCAGAGAATCAAATCATGTACAAGGCCAAAGCCGCTGGAAAAAAAACAAATCACGCTCAACGCCGAAGCAGCTAGAGAAAATTCAAAATCATTGACCGAAGTAATCTCTTAACGATCAGCATCAGCTGAAGTATTCTCACACAGGTGGCATCACAATAATCATCTAGACTAATCTCTTAACGGATGGCATCGTACACTATAAGCGGGAATCACAAGCGAGATATCAACTACTGCCCCTACTTACCACCGTCCCTAAGGCATGAACATAATCATAGGGCATCAGACTCCACTCATCCACAAATTAGATCAATGTTCAAAATTCATCCCTAGGATGGAAACACAAATCCACAAGTAAGGCCATCATGCTTTTATCATTCACATTTTTAGTATCAAACCCCAATTCACATTTATCGAGCTTCAATTGTCTTAAGCTTGGTTAAATTCTAGATGCCTCTATGTCTCTAAGGCTTCATTCAATCAAATTGTCTCGACATATCAATCACCTAGGGTAATCCATTCCTAGAGGTTCAACATAGTCTATAAGCTTCTTAGTCT